TCAATATATAAACTAGGGTTGAGGTAGGCCAATGTCAAGCAAGGCAGGCACCGCCACTATAAAATGCTGCAGCATTAATGCAAGGTCTGTTATTTTCCATTTGTCAATATTGTGATATCTGTCTCTGAGATATCTGCCTCCAACCCCAATACAATGAAGGTGAGTCGACTATCCAAGGACAGTTTAGGGGTTATTTCTTAGTACACTATTTCAATGGAAAAAGTTTGGAAAATGATCCTCTTACCTCTTCTGTGTTGGGCAGGAGATGTTGCTGTTGATTTAAAACTAACAATAATAATAATAATGCTGTGAGCATCACCAATAAATCACACTGACCTCATTTGTACTAAAGGTGGAGGCAGAAATCTCAAAACGACAGATTAGGTATCTCAAAACCTGGACAAATAAATACAAAATGACCTGCATGGATGGATGCCACGAGAGACACTTTAGAATGCACACTAAAACCAATAGGACCAATAATCGTGCTGAAATGTGTCAAAAAGCCTGATGTTTAGACCTGTAAACCTACAACTATACAGCTTAACAAAACAATCTAGGCCTGTTGATTTCAATGAAGCTACAGAACCAACTTTTAGGCTCTGTAGTTTCCTCGGAATAACTCCAGGTGAGTTGTGACCATATATGGCTGTGATGACGTACACTTTCAACCCGGAAGCACAATAGTCATCAACCCTCCGTTTGCGATTGCACGATCTGTCATTTGTTCGATCAGCAGCAATGGCTCCGACTACAGCTTTAATTGTCGAGTGGCAGACGGAACAAATAATCAAGTATCTGTTTGAGGACGAGGGCGATCTCCATTGTCGTTCAATGGACGATAGTTTGGAGGTGGACAGCGCAATGAGCGACGGTTAGTTAAAGATAAAATGTGCTCGCGTGAGAGATAAGTGTTCGAGTCGGTGTTAACAGTTAACGTCAGGTACACTCAGTGAACTTTCACTTTCAGGTGATTAGAAAATAAGGTGTCAAAGTGGTAAACTCTAGTGTTTCATGCAGTAGGTTTTACACTATTTAAGTTATTGGTTTTTTTAGTCGATATCATGTTTAAGACAATGTAGCGTTATTAGGCATACGTTACACACATAGCCTAAATGTATAAAGTGTGCATTGCTTTTGTTGTTTGGCTTTACAAGCTGCTCATTGTGAGCTCTGCAAATATTTTGGGATTGAATAACTAACAAATAATACGTTGTGTGCATACCAACACTCATCAGAGCTTTGCGCTCCAGCGTGGGTTAAGAAGCCCCCCTTAGTTATGCTCCTACAGTACAGTGAATCCTGATGTTTAGCCTGTTAAAACTTGACATGTACGTTTTTCTTCCAGAGGACACTTTTGACCCAGTTATAACAGCTGATATACTTAAGAGAGTGGGTGATGCCATGAAGGATGACGTCGAATTTAAAGCTGCACTTGCTGACCTGAAGCAAGCAGGAGCAGAAGAGGTACACACAGTGACAATTATTTATTTCTATTCTTACTTTCTATACTTTTTAATTATTTATATTTAACTTTTTTTCACCCCTACTTATTTATTTCCTTGTGCTGTTGCTGCTGCAACACCAACATTTCCCTTCAGTGGATCAATAAAGGCTAATCTTATCTTATTCTACATTAATCCATGAATGGCATTCACAGGATCAGAGGTTATGTACATTCTTATGAGGAGAGGAAGCACCACTGCTTGCTTTCTACCTGTCGTAGCCCAGGTGTAAACACGGGTGTACACACTTACACATTCACACAGTACAATAGGGACATTTTTGTTGACTAATAATACAAGTTTTCTAAAAGTACTGTTGATTATTTTGTGGTGCAAATGCACCACAAAATTGGTTGAAATTTAGTTTGTTAGTAAATGTGGAAATACTAGACATGTCAAATGATGGACTAAACTCGATCACCGGTAGCTCAATTCTGCTTACGTTGTAAAATCTGATAGATTTGTGTTTTGTACAATGATTGTAAACCAGCACACAGTTTTAAAAAAAGATCAAACAAAACATTTAGATTGATCCAACATTAAGTCCGAATATGTTTTTCTGTTTCCAAATTTTTAAATGAAGTTAACTGGAGCATTGTAGGTGTATCTACTATGATGTCTTTACATTGAGTTTGCCGCTCTGTAACATCTGGACCCCTTGTCTCGTCTTTCCCCAGGCCATGGAAATGGTGTTTAGCCGTGGTGTGGACGCCATCTGCAAGACTCATGTCTGTCAGCAGCCTGAAGTGTCTTTAGAGATGCAGCTGATCAACGCCTCGGTGGCCTTCGGACTTTATCTCCAAAAATCCACCCCACAGCTGAAAATGAAAATCCAGAGGGTCATGTCTGCATTCATAACCATGCGTGTGGGCCCATGGCTGGCTCAGCAAGGTGGATGGGTAAGAAGGTTTTTAATGCCTCTTCAGAAGCGACAGCAGTGGACGCGTTTTCGGGTTGTCTGTTCGATAACTCACGAATGCCTTGAGCTAATTTTTTTCAAATTTGGCACAAACGTCCACTTGCATTCAAGGTTGAATTATTTAGAAGTTGGTGGTCAAAGGTCACTGTGACCTTGCAAAACACCTTTTTGGGCCATATCTTAGGAGTGATTATGCTAATTAGGACAATTTCACACCAACGTCTAATAGGATAAAATTATGAAGTGATGACATTTAGGACAGGCATGGATGTAAACTACAACGTGACTGGCTGGCGGAGGCATACAACCGCAAGGCGATCATTCTAGTTTTATGTATTTATCACTTGTGCAGGTCGGGACAGGTGGAGAACTACAATATAAAAGGGTTACGGTTTTGAACAACAAACACCAGCCCTTTGCACCTGAAGAGTGTTAATATTCATGACACCAAACCCAGTGGTGCAAACAATTCAAATACTGCACAAACTAAAAAACAGGAAGTTTCCTTTCACATTGTGCCACCACTGACCTTTAGGTGCAACTGTTTTTACAAGCAATCAACTTATGATGTAAGTGGAGAAGATTTCGATCAGAAAAAAATACTTTTTGTCATTATTTTATGTGTTTTTCAGTCACTATAGTTCATGTCATGTAAGTTAACTTTATTTTCATTTCATAACCCTCCCTGATTTTACAAGAAACTATTCTTTAGTTAAAGTGAGTCCTCTTCCAGTTCTATAAAGCACCACGACTGACTGAACATCAGATACCTGAAGAGGTGCGGCATTGTGGCCTTGTGCTTCCCCAGCAGCCTTTATACAACTTCCTTGATGCAAATTGAATTCTTGTGAAATGAAACTGCACTGAACTCGACTAACCTTTCTGCATTGACGCAACAGGAAAAAGCAGTGACATAGTTTTAATACCACATTGAGTGGATGATATTTCTTTATGTCACCAGTACCTGAAACAACACGCTGCCACCAACCACCAATTTCTTTGGTTTGAACAATAAACATGTATTTGTGGTCATTTTAAAAACTGAGATCAACCAGATGTACAATGCTACGTTAGACTTTGCATAGGTATCTACTGAGCATGTATCCTGGATTAATACTGCAGCCATTTACTACTTGATTACACAGCAAAAACATACAATTAATATTGCAGTACAAAGGTTGAGTGTTTTGAAACCATTATACAAGGTAATTAGTTTTATCGACACATTGAGAAACCATGCAGTTAAAACCAGAGCTCCATCTGTGCATCTGCATCCTTAACATTGTAGTTCTGTTTTTTTTTTTTTTAGCCCCATGTACAGTTTCGTTCTGACTGACTGACTTTCAGGGGAAAGTGGTTTGAGAAGGAATCTTGCCAGACCAGCCTCTCTGCGATGGAGTATGCTGACCCGAACAACAATATTTCACCAGATGATCTCGTGGAGCCACTGTATTATTCTGCACTCTGTTGTCACACAGGCAGACATCTGATCACACACTAAACTTCTTCATTTGGAATTTCAGCGCTTTCACGCTGTGTTTCAGTTTTAGACAATCTTGCTCAAATCCCAGCTGGGGGTGCCGGTGCACATCACAGGTTAATGCAATCATGTGTGTTAAGACAGTTTGTTGAAGTGTAATTTCTGCTAAACAGACACAAAAAAAAGATTTAAAAAAGTCACTTTCACATTCTCATAAATGTTTAATATTATAAAATATTAATATTACAAAATTATATTACTGATGTATCAGTGATATTTTTCTCCACTACTTCTTGCTTGCCTTCTTAGTTACAATTCACATTACAAAAAAAAGCTCTTGCTAAGTCAATGTAATGTGCAGTTGCAATACTTAAGCTTTTGAACAGGCCACGTTCACACTTTGGCATCCATGTGTGTCTAAACAGTCTACTTGATAATGATATGCCATTTTCGGTGCTCAATCAAACTGTGATTTCATGTCATTTAAGTGTTTCTGTCCTTTATTTTTGCACAAAATAGATACGGGCACTCTATTATGTCTTAAGCTTATAAACCCTGTTTTTTGTGTCTTAATTGCATTCAGTCATATTCAGCATATACTTCTAGCTACATTTTACACACTGCATGCAATTTTTACATTGGGTGAAACATTTTTAAAAGGAATGTTTGGTATATTTGGAAACTTTGATGGCTTATTGAAAACTTGATTAAAAGGATACCTTTTCTTTTTTGGTAATTTGTTTTTTAATGATTTTAATAAAAATGGGAAATTTGGAAATGGTTTCTGAATTACTAAATTGTGGATATAACATTGTTGAGATAGTTTTGATTTCAAACAAGTATGTTTTAGCATTTTATAAAACAAGACAAACTGCTAATAAGTCAAATGTTCTGTGCAAATGTGCTTATTTTCAGAATAATAGTCGTACTGTTTCTGTGCAGAAAACCTGCTATAATACAGCTTGAGAAATGGAAGAAACACACGACACAAAAGCTTCCAGTAATATGCCATTGTGTTGAAGATAGCAAGACTTCATCTTGTGTGTGTAAGAAATTAGAACTGTAGATATGTTTTTATCTCATCGCAGACAATCGTGTCGGATATCATTTAATCTATATTCTCAAATAATAAATACTTAAAAATACTAAAAACTTTAATACTAAAAATACAATGTTAGGAAAATATTTTGATCTTCAATAATCATTGACACAAATAAGAATATATGACAGGGACGGGTTTGCATTATTTTTTAATGTTTTGTAAGTCTCCTCAGCCCAGTGTTGCCTCATATGTAGTTTCACTATTGTGCAATAACCAGCAGAGTGCAGCGCTGACCGCTTTCAAGCACTAGATGCCAGTGTGAAAAATGCCCCACATATTTGATGCAACATAATCTACATGGAGTGATTTTAAGGGACCAAGACAAGAACCAAATTTGATATTCTGTTTCAATGCAACTTTTCCTCTATTTTGCAGAATGTATGCTCGGAGGGTGGACATATTTAAAAAAAAAAAAAATGGTGTGTTTCTAATTTTTCTCGATCACAGAGCCTGCATCTCTCTGGCTGCAGTTCACACTGGGATGTAAAGGCATCTGACTGTAGGTAATCACCTCTGTGAGAAAGATGGAGAGTCAAGGGTGTGTGTAAATATGTGAGACATTCTTGCTGACAGTCTTGACACAACTAAAACAGTGTTAACAGAACAATTCATTTGAAGTGGCATAAATGTGCTTGTCATGTAGTGTATTCCTTTATTTGAAGTAATGTACAGACATCTCATTCTTGGCCTGTAGCAGATATTCATGACCACTCCCGAAGTCCAGCTGTCTACACAGTCGCACCACTCTGTGCTGCTGTTTGGCAGTCTGATTCAACTCCACACTAACTCTGTGAGACATGGCGGGGGACTTCTGGGCCAGGCAAGCCAAACCAGCTGGGAAGCAGATCCGGCCGCTGAAGGCTTTACAGGGTGAAGGGGAAAATAATCTTTGACCCCAGACTGAGCTGAAATCCATTCACTTTTATTTACCATTTATAAGGTGAATACTTCGAACAGACACTGCCTTTGAGACTGCATTTCCATTTAAAAGTATCATAACCCAGGGTATTAAGTAATAAGTAGGGAATAAGTAAAAACACACCTCATTCATATATGTCAAACACTATACACACTTATATACAAGATTATATAGGGCCTTGAAGAGATTATTCATAGAATGAAGGTTCAGTTCATTGCCATAAAAACATACCCGGACCTTGACAACTTTGCTAGCATCAGCACACTCTTGTATCTTTGTTGTGGCCAAGTGAGTGAGATTGTTGCGCCTTTTCCCATTAGATATTTTGACTCGTCAGTGCAGAAAAATTACAGGTGGAACCAATAATATCAACGATGGATCTGTTGCAGAAAGTGGTGCGGTGCAGAAATGAACAATGCTATTAGAGACACCTGTGCAGTACAAGTCAAAATGACTCCTGAGAAAAAAGTCTGTTCAGTTAACAAGTTTTATAAAAACAAAGATCTATTTTATATCAATTTAGAAAATGAAATCTAAAAGTATTTAATAATTGACACCGACCAACAGTGTGTCATACACTTTGTCGATTGCGCAGCCCTCTGGGACAAACCTGGGAATTCAGGCTATACATAAACTTGACTTGACTGTCTGAGTGTGTGCATTTGACAGAAAAAGGTGAGCAACTGAGAAAGAGACAGAGATATCCTGGTATTTGAGTAATGATGTTGTGTTGTTGCGACCTGCAAATAACTTCTGTTGAATATCAAAACAACCATTATCAAATGCTATCAAATTCTTAGTCAGTGTCCATGATAAAAGCAACTTTATTTTCTTTCTCTAGTGTTTGATGGAAGTGTATTTGCCAACAGCACAGCGGTTAACATAAACTGCATTAGCAAAATGTTCACATTCAGATGAGATTAAGAGTCTGCTTTTGGTGTCTTGACTCCATCTATTGACCTATTTATTCATGTAATCCTTCATAATTAGAGATTTGACAAAACAGCTCACCATATTAATACGCACTGCTCTAAACATCCAGCACATGATTCCGATTCAGAACAGTTCCTACATGTACAATATATAAGCCATGAATTGTCTTTTTATATTGTTAATGTACATCTGAGAATTTTGCACAAATTGTGTTTCATTTACCACAGTAAGTAAGCAGACCAAAACTTAAAGTCACAATGTTGAGAATTACAAATGTCCAACATTGGCGCCACCCCAGTGGTGGTAAAAAAAAATACACTGTTTTAAACAATGTGTAATCCCAACATCGCCACCCCCATGCGTATATTGTCCTGACCTGAGGACCAACACATTTGTCACTCCCAATTCATCGAATACCGACGCTTGGTCAGTGCCCCTATGCTTCAAGCTATGACGTCTTTAGCATCAGTCTTGGATGTGTCACGGATGGTGTGTCAGTTTCCTCTCATCACAAGCATACAGTCTCCTTTCAAAATAGATTTCTAAAATAATTTTAAAATGCTATAGGCTTACTATCTTTTATATAGTGTATAATAAATTCTACACATAGTAGATGTATAAGCATTTTACAGAATCACAAAAGTGAGAAAAGTATTACTTGGAAACATTCTTACAAGAGCAGCAGTGAAAGTAAAGTGAGTACACTTGTTTGACACTTGTGTGTGTGTACTCTTGTAACACACAGTGCCACCTAAGGTTAAGACAGAGATTAATGTCACATTAACAGGTCTGTTAATTTGATGGGCCTTGATGTTGACTTCCACAGAGACTCTTTTACTCCTCGACTCCAAGAGTCAAATTATTTGTATGTGCACGCATACTTGGCCAATGAAGGTGATTCTCATGCTAATGAGTTCCTCAGCATAATAACAGAATAATCCTTCCACCCTGGCCCACCTCACCACCCTAATGCCCTCCACCCTTATTCACACACGAGTAGCTCTCTGCTAAGTGACAGAGGATCAAGGTGTGTACAAAATAACGGCCTCCCACCACCGATGACTTTAGCCTCGATACAGAGAAACATGAAGAGAATATCAGATGCTATTTCTGTCATAAAGCACAGAATGGATTCTGAAACTTCCACCTGCTAATGCACATTCAGCATTATACATTTAAATTAGGGCTCACCGTATTCTCTTACATATTTTGGTTACTTTCCTGACTCCATTTGTCTATGTCATTAAAAAATATCTATTGTTATGCTTGAAGGGTGTATTTCCCAATCTGCTAACTCAATCAACAGCTGTAAGAGGATGTGGCTCACTGAGGTGAATTTTTTATGGTACCTCCCATTTACACGTATACACATATAAGCTACATACAGTACACATTATAAGTGCCAGCATTTCCAATGTCCAATCTCACTTTTTTAAAGGGCAACACTGGTCAGTTTACTAACAGAAATGACAGACAGTACGTGATGATGCTACATCGGTATACCTACTTTGTCACAAAGAATCGGGGGGAAATGTAAAAAGTAAAATGCTTGCTAGTAGTGGAAAGGGCATGGAGATATATGTACAGTATAGAGCTCCAACATTCTTTAGATTCACAGTCCTGCAGCCACAGTTATAAAGTTACTAATAGGTGGCCCCACAGTTTTTTTAAATTGACCATTTGACAAATATCTAAAGGGGAGCATCAGGTAATTTTTCTTTCAGCATGGATGCTGTTTTCAGCTACAACTATAAGCTATTATTAGTCATTCTGACAGTCAAATGGTCTTAAAAATGTCAAAAAAAACTTGAACTGAATTGCACCACCCATCTGTAAGGGCCATGACTCTAATGAGTTACTGTGTAACTGACATTAGTACATTGAAACCACACCTTCGCCATACCAAAGATCCTTGGTCCAAGTGAGTCAATTTGACATGTTTTCATTGCAGCCACAGACTGTACATCCTGTGTCCTAGTCATCTCAAAGCACCAAGCTGGTTGCGCAAACTTCCTGCTTGCCCACTATTGGTTTACCAGATTAAAACTATTAAAATAGTTCCTCTTCATTACATTTTCTATCCTTAAGGCCACAGAACTAAGCATGTAAATGTAGCACACAATACGATGCATAACTATTTGTGACCATTTAGGTCATGAGTTTTAATTTGAATTCAGATCAGAAATACAAACAGCATTCACAACTTCTAGTATTTGTACCGGATGTGCTACAGATATACACTTAGTGATTCAAGTTCAACAGGTTGGTGTTGATACTGATGAGAAACCCCTTATGTTATTCGACATCATCTTCATTTTGTCAGTAAGTGCAGAAATAAATAATCAGTCTTCTTCAAATCAAAGTCTGATTTCAGATGTGTATCCGGTCTCCATGCCGATTTGTCATCCTGTCCTCTCAGAGTGTGTTGGATGGAAGAAATCAGTCAGTCCACGAAGGAGTTCCCTTATCTCTTTCATTCCTCTGAAGTCCTGTGATGCCATTAAGACTGTTTTGACCAGTAACCCCTCGAGCATGAAAATGTATCCAGAGTCTTTTCCATTCTGTGAACCGGTGGGGTGAAACTTAACAGTTACACAGCGATCCAAGGGTCACACATCATCATCATCGTCATCATTCTGCCTCAGCCTCCGCTCATGACTCTGTCCTCTCTGACTCCCTCTTTGAGGAAGCCGCCCGACTGGATCCTGACAAAGCACATACTGTTTCCAGATTTTCTGGAACGCTGTGCGAAATTTCTTGATGCGGAAAGCGTACACGATGGGGTTGACGGCCGAGTTTCCGTGGGTGAGGATGATGGCGATGTAGATGAGGAACATCGGCTTATCGCAGGCAGGGCAAAAGAGGGTGATGCAGTTGAGGATGTGAAGAGGGAGCCAGCTGACTGCGAAGAGGAAAAGAACCAGGGCGAGCGACTTGGCTAACTTGAGCTCCTTGCCAAAGTAACGGCTAGGGTCTGTGTGGCTAGCCGTCACCTACAAAGAGATAAAGGAGAAGATTGTCAGCGTATACATTTATATGTAGTCTAATTAGTTCACATTAAGTCTGTTTTCATAGCAAACAAAGCGACCACAAGAAGAGGAAGACCTCACCTTCTTGTTGAGCTGCTTGTGGATCATGTAGAAAATCTCGACATAGATGGCCAGCATGAGGAGCAGAGGGGGCAGCACCCAGCCAAAGAAGTTGAAGTAGACCATGTAGTCCATACTGATGACTGTCTCAAACTCACAGATCACCAAGAGGTCATCAGTGACCAGGGAGCCATTGTCACGGAGAAGTTGCAGGTTATTCCAACCCAACATGGGCGTGAGGCCAATTATGATGGACACCAGCCAACACAACAACACGGCCGTGCCGGCTCGTCGAGGAGTCACCACCCGCTTGTAGCTAGGGCAACAAAGGGAGAAGGTCTTGTTTTTAATTTAGGCCAATACAACATGTAAGTCACTGCAAAAGATTTACAACAAATACTCCCGTTGTGAAGCTAATAACTTTAGAGATTTTAACGTGGAGTGATTTTTTTTTTTTGGTTTAAACGCATGTTTCATCAATTAAGATCTTAACTGCTCGAAATATTACAATTCTTACAAACAGTAACACATACCAACTGATTAATTACCCATTGTAGCTTTAAAATCAGACAGAGAGAAAAATCTCAAGTCTTTTTGAAGGCTATTGCAAGTGAGGGAAGCAGAGCACATAAAAGCTTTCTTTCCTAATTCAGACCGTGCACATGGAACAGACAACAAGACCATATCTTGAGATCTCAGACTTGCACTGCAGTCAGGTTTCTGTGTAATGAAAATGCAAATGTATGATTGCAGTTTACTCAGAATGGCATTATATAGAACAAGTACCGATGACGAAAGGTGGCCAACCAGTAAAGCCTACAATAATGAGTCGGGCTCAAAGAGAGTCTATGTAACTTTTGTTGAACAGTATCCACCGTTGCCCTATCTAGCATAAGTTTGGTAACATTAACATTTTGTAACCATAAGCTGGTCATACCAGACCATGTAAGGCTGTAGCAGCAAAACCCCTGAGTGTGTTGAATTAAGCAGTGGTGCGTTTTGTTGTGTATGGATTGCCTGAGTAGATATCTGACATTTTCTAAACATTTATATAGTGAAATCCTTGTTCAGAATTTGTGTATTTTGTTGTACTGCCCGAGTTTATAGGCAGTGAGGTTAAGTAGCTTGTAGCTTCTTATCGTGCCGGCTCCCTGGCTAACCTCACTAATGCTAACATAGAAACACGCTGAGATATGTGCCAGAGCCAAACCATCATTTTGTGCCCCCCCTGCCCCATTTGCTTTCTCTCACTTCTCCTTGCCTTTTCACTCTCTGTCACATAAAGCCCACACACAGGAGTCCAGCCAGGGTGAGTCAGACACAACACAGGACGCATGAATGAATACTCAAAGGATCAAGAGAGTCTGGAGTATTCCCATATGTGACGACAGTTTTTATCTCAAGTAAAAAACGCTCTCTCCAGCTGCTTGTAAAGCTTGGCTGTCTGTCTGCATACAGATCAGCTGTCTGTTCTGCCAAAAATTACTTTTTTGGTCTTGACTGCCCTCTATATATCTCTATTTCTCTGAGGGATTTCCACCTTCTAACTTCAATCCTCAAGCTAAGCGCATTAGCAATACTTTGGACATTTTCAAAAATCAGACACACCACCCTTATCACGACAGTGTGCTTCCAAACCACCTCCGCTATAAAAAGAAATCAGCGGCTGGTAAATTGTTTCCCTCTAGTCCCAGGGGTGGTTTAGGGAGGGGGACTCAATTCTAGCTCATTTTATCACTTAATACAAGACAGTAAATTGCAATTCACTTGTGTTTAAAATCTGATGAACAGATGGAAGTATCTGGCTATAATGGATCAGCAGTGAGATTGATGCACATTTTCTTAGATATGTGACAGTAAAAAGACAGAGCCTTCACCAGACGAAATATTGTTTGACCTGATATAGAATGTGATTTATAATATACATGATACACAAAGTTACATCCAATACTGTGAGCTGAAAAGTGCTGAGAAACACTGGAGCACACTGATAAATAACAGTTAAGTCAATAATATTTAGCGTTCTGTCACTGCAACTAGTGCAATATGTCCTCTGAGTAACAGTTTTATGTGAGCGTTGGTTGTCAGCTTGAGAAATTATGCAATCCATCAACCAGCCACCATGAGCCTATTGATCAATCATGCATTCTCTGCCAGGCTCATTGTCCGATTAGGCAACTTGAAGTGGAAACTTGAGTTTTCAGTGAAATTATGGGTAAGGCAAGAGGAACTTTCCTTCGAACTGATGACATTTACAATTTTAAAACATATGTTACCATGCAACAGAAATGGCAGTCTACCATTAAGTTATAAACCAACCAGATCAGAAGTAGTAAAGAAAGACGGGCACATTTTTAGCTCAGACTGGAAAACAGCTGGCTTCCCCACAGATCTCTCTATCTATCTATCTATATATCTATCTATCTATGTTCCTTGTCTGATACAAATACGTTTGCTGCTAAAATACATATTCAGATTTTAAAAATCTTGTAAAAACAATATAGCCAAATCATTTTTTGAGGGAAATTTAATCAATTATTTTTTTTTTTTTTATGGATTATATTTTGAGAAGAGGGCAGTTAATACAAGATGTTTTATATGTGCATTACTTTGTTCCATTATAGCTTATAATTTGGATACAATTATGTATTGGAGGTGTGACACTTAAGGAGTTGAAAATAAATACATGAATAAATTAATTAACAAGTCTAAATATAGTTTGAAATGATATTAAAAACTGTTCATAAAATGTCAGCCTTGAAAATCACTGACTTTTATCACGCACTGACACCGTGTGGTTTCCCGTTGAGATATTAATGATATGTCAAAGCAGACTAATGTAGCCCTACTTTAAGGTTATAACTAATTAAAATGATTAGACACACCTTCCCACTACATATTACGGTCTATTTCTGGTTGCAGCTGAAATTAAAATCCTGCATGGTCGCTCTGGTGGGTGCCCATGGTCCGAGCAGCGGTCCAGACACAAAGGCTTCTTCTGTAAATGAGACAAGACATTGGGAAGTAGAAGAATTCACCTTTAGGCCTACCTCATGGGTATTTTGACTCTCAGATAGCGGTCGATGGCGATGGCCAGAAGCGCCAGGATGGAACTTTGAGTGAGGACGAGCACTGTGCAGGCGACCAGCAAGCAGCTGTAAAAGTGCGTCTTGAGTCCGATGCTGATGGTTATGGCGAGCGGGATGACAAGAGCCCCGACCGCAATGTCAGCCAAGGCCAGGGAGACGATGAAACAAAACGTGGTGTCTCTCAGAGACCGGTTAATACGCACAGCCCAGACCACCATCACGTTACCGATGACCGACGACACGGCGATCACCACCTCCATCCCGATGTAGAGGGCTTTAGAGGAAAGCACACCCGAAGGCATGTTCACGGATGCTGGAGGAGTGTGCGCTCCGCGGAAAAACAGCCTGAACGCGTCGAGGGAGTTCCCTGTTTGAGTTTTTTTGGCACCGACTGAGACACCCCGACTAAGGTTTCGCATGTTTTATGTCCCCACAGAGGCAGACGTAGTGTCTGTTGCTCTGAACTGTTTTAGGATCTGGTCCAGGACATGGAGCTGCGCGCAAGACGCAGGACTTGGTGCTCCATATGGTCCGAGACGGTGATTCCGCGAATGAAGTGACTACTTGCCGTCTTGCTGGCGGAGGGACAAGACGGACACGAGATACCAAATCCATCACAACCAACTTCCAAAAACGCAGATTGACAGTGTAGCTTTCATATATGTGGCAAAGCTTTGAAAAATAAGAAGAGTCATTTCCTGCTGAAGCTGAGTCATTTGCTACAGTTGGGCTACTTTATCAGGGTTTAGCTCCTCTATGTGGACATGATTTAGTTGCCCCAAGGCACTCAAATGTTTATTTGCCTCAGGGTAATTGTTTCTTGTGAAATAATCCCAGTTGATATGTGTCACCCATGGGAGTTTAACATATTATTGTCCATTGATCTTCTCTTTGCAAGGCAACCTGAAAGCTCGCCCTCTTTGTGGACACACTGAGGAGGAGAATATCAAACATTGACTCATATGACAGGTGCATTTTACAGACATTGTCAAAGATGCACTAAATATGCAAATCACACATTTCCCACATGCTTTCATTATTTAGACTCGCTCTTTTATGTGATAAAAATACATATTTAGACCATAAGGCTCCCAAACATGTTAGTATAAAGGAGGCTTTCCCCCAGTGTGACTGTAGTTGCAGGCGAGGCGAAGAGTGGGTAAAAAGTACGAGCCTGTGAAGCTTTGATACTCTGGAGAGGATGCACAGAAAGAACGCTGGAGGAAGACAAATTGGCACATCTTTTGTATTGGAGGGAGACAATAAACCAATATAGGACAACATCAGCTTGGTATCAGTGGACAGCAGCAGGACTCAGCTGGAAGACAGCTGCACACAAACAAACCTATCTAGATGCAAATGAGACTCATAAACAAGTGGCATAAAGAAATTATTTTGCATACAGACAGGAAGTGTACACAGATACAGTACATGTAGCGCGTTTATGTGCAATGTATTTGATTGCAAATGCTACAGGTTTTGGACAAACTTACCATCTTCCCCAATCTGGATATCAAAAATGCAGACCATCACTCTGACAACCTGTTCAGACATAGAAAGTGTGATGTCAAGGCCTCTCGCCTACCTTGACTACAGTGAAGGTCTGCGAATGATCTGTGTGTGTCATCATTCATTCGTCTGTTACTCTGTTCCGACCTTCTTCAAGCCTGCAGGATCATTTCCACTACCTTCAGTCATGGACACTATAAGCAATATTTCATTTATAAACTTTTAGCAACCTCTTGCTGATGAGTAAATTCTACAATTCGTTCCTGAGCTGGAAAGAATTTCACAGAAGAAAGTTCATCTTTTGGCTTTTTATAGTGTAAGAATGTGCAATTTTGTTAAAAGTGTACTTTACAATCAAAAGGGCGAGAAGTTGGATGAATTGGTGGTAAGAAGCCTCATCTTGCCTCATTATAAGCCAATTGTCTACTCCTTTTTTTTTCTTTTTCTCTCAATAAAGGGTCCCGTTATATGTCATATATTGTTTTAAAAAATCTATATAAATATGTGTGAGTTTATGTAATCATTTATAAGTACTCACACATACGCAAATTTTAGCAAGTTTTCGTAACCAAAGTTAAAGGTGCTCAATACAAAACTCAGAGCATATCTCCTGCCTCCACACTGCTCACATAATGGCGACGGCTGAGTTAGCTCATAGCTAACAGTGCACACAACGGCAACAACAGTGCCGACAGAGTTAACAGTGTTTACCTGAGTTGGAACCTGAGGGTGGGTGCTACACTTCCGTGACAACGCCATTTGTTGGAACGTCATTAGCTGTAACTGCCATATGAGTGGAGTGCAGAGGCATTTAGGGCACGCTGACATGCACTAAAAACATGCTCTTTGCTGACATAGCTGGGCTGGCTGCACAGAGAAACTCAGATTACAACACACACAGAGGAAGAGAGACCACATTCTCTGCTCAGGTAGACATTACTCCACTATATCTTTCCATGGATAATAGTCGTTTCCTGCTATGTGAATTCTTTGAATGTCGTAACTTTTTAAGTAACCCTGAATTAGTTAATATAATGCTCTTGAAGCGTGATACAATGTTTGCTTACTGAATGGAAAAATGCATCAGGACAATAATCCTGTTTGGGCTCATATTCACGTTGCATAAACAAGGTGCTCTGTTGTCTTCCAGGCAGCTTTTGGGTGGTCTGTATCAGTGTTCTCCATCACTGTGACTCTTCTATATTACTGAGGTTTTATATGTTGAGCAGATTGGCTCAAAACATCTGATTGATGCTATGTTTGGTTTACTATCTTAGTGTAAAAGCATAAACATTGTGATTCTGTCATCTCTCATACCGTAAGTGCCACTTCTGAAGAAAGTCAGTGTGGGACAAAGTCTGTGTGTGTGTGTGTAAGTGCACAAATGGAAAGAGAGTGTGGACTCTTTTACTCAGTTATTATCTCCACAGAGTTGAAAGGTCTTATCTTTGCTGGAACAACCTAGTTTTTATGATACATGACCATGATTCAATCAGTCACAACAGAAATATCATGTATGTAAGTATTCATTTTTTTCCAGCAACAAAGAAAATCTCTTCCACACACATACTGTATGCCTTTGCACAACAGCACTGCATGGAGTAACAATGGAGTCCAATCTTTACAACAGAAACAGGGGTCACCAGTAATCCCAGGAGTGTCACACAATGTCTGGAAGCTGCTTTAATTAGACAGATGAAGGTGGGGACTATTTTTCCTAATGGCCCACTTTAGCTGCAGACTGTCAGCTCCAGTCTGTGTCCGCACGGCAGACCGACAGCAGGTGCAGGCAGGCAGCACGAGAGCACGGACTGGTGTTGAAGCACAAGACTGTCCTTGGAGCGGACCATGGGTTCAGATTGGTGCTTTTGTCATTCAGAGTTAAGTTGCAGTGATACAACAGTACCACAAATATCTTTACTCCACTTTAAACCCAGGCAACAGGGCAGAGGTCATGCAGGTAAAAAAAACAACAAATAAACAACTGTTATGCACTGTATTTAGATATTTGTACTGGTATTATTTATAGTGCAATTACCTCGTTTTGGCATTACACTACCAAACTAAGAGCAACAATGCTCCCATACACTGTTAACGGTCTATATGATCACACTGCTCATACTCTCTAAGGCTAATGCGATCTTAATGTAAATACAGAGACCCAGCAGGTCCATAAGCATTGAAACATGCGAGGCAAGACTATTACTTCACTGTGTTATAGCCTCATAACATTGCATTCACATCTGTAATACATCATTTTGACTCATTAACTCAATCAAATTGTTGTTTCACAAGTACTTTACTTATCAAAACTGACCTGAATTATCCAAAAATGTGACTTTCTGTCACCCAGCAAGACCTGCTCTATTGGTTGTTTTAGGGAACAAGTATAAAAAGAGTATCAGCACTTTTTGATTCAAATGAGTAAGACTTTTGTGTTACTAGCTACAGTTTATCAATTCAAACAGCGGATCATTTTCATCTGTTTTCTATGCACTGCAGATCAAAACAATATTCTATATGAGAGCAAATTTTCTTCTGTCTTCCCAAGAAAATAACCTTCAAAGGCCTGCTGGATGTTTCCCAGCTTGCATTGAGGCCCATTATGTTGAATCTGTGTGTCGGCTGTTGAAGCATGATAATTTAAGGACAGAACGTGCAGCTCCTCATCAACCCTCTCCAGCTCGGCATAAATAGAGGGAATTGTTCACACTTTACTGGGGTGAGCCTCGTATTACGAGCACTTCATCTGCTGCAGGATTCAACAGAAAAGTAGTTGAAGTTGAAATCTGTAATCTGTGCCATGACTAAAATTGGTGTGAGACACGGGTGTGAGTAGCTAAAGACTTACGTGTTGTATGTTGTTAACTTGCTATTCAAATAACTGATCGCTTGTGTCATTTTGAGGAAGTACTGCACCAAACAACTACTTCCTGGAACCTCTCACAACTTTGTCCTATTGCGTAAACTTGTAGAATACTTTCAATCATCAGTCATCGCTTTTTCCACAAGACACTGAATCACCATCACTCTCATATCAGTCATCAGGAAGCCTTCCAGCAGATTGTCCTGTCCCATCTTGAGACTGTTAACAATGCTTATTTGTTTGGATACACCGAGACCTGAATCATTTAAAGTTGCTAGGGCTTGTTCAACACAAACATTCATTCACATTCACGGTAAGGAAAAAACATATACATACATAAATGATTGAAAGTTAATTCTTGACCTAGGAAACAGCAGTAAGTAAAGGGGCAACATAGACGAGAAGTCCTTAAGGTGCAAAATTTAAAATTTAGAGCATATCCATAACCTCCACACGGCTCTCAGCATGGCGGCAGCTCACAGCACTAACAGTGCAAACGATGCCAACAGTGCTGACATCTGCTAAAAGTGTTAACCTGAGGGGTAACCGGAGACAACAACTCTGGGTGAGCGTTATCAGCTGTAAACGACATATGGGCGGCTGTGAGAGAGTGACTTCATCCTCTGCTCCGGTAGACATTACTCAACTATATCTTTAGGTAGAAAATTGTTGTTTGCTGATATATTAATGCTCTGAATATAGTATAGAGAACCTTTAAAGTATCCAGAATAATAGTAGTTCAACAAATCCATGACACCTGGGGCAACTCCATCTGTTGAAGAAGTTAGTGTGAAACAGCTACTAATTAGACCCACTCGTGAGACTGTTTGCGCCACACTCATGCGTCCATATATACTCTCCCTCCTCTTTCCTTGGCGTCTGCCTTCTGACCGGCTCATTATTAGAAGACCCCACTTGAATCACCAACAACCTGTGGATGCAACGTTTATCTCCTGTGATTGAGTGCTGTTTCGTTGGCCTTGGGGTGGGAACACATTTGACTCACCTGTAGCTGCAGGACTGGACCCTTACTACACAGAGTTCTCCTGTGACGCTGGTGTTGATAGCAGTGTGTAGGCCCCTTCAGGCTTTGGCCAGCTCTCATTTCTCTTGATGAAAGCACTTTAGTTTACGGGTACAAGATAGATGAAAAAGTGCCCCAAACGACAAATCAAACAGGATCATAGTTCCGCTCAATAACCACACTGTTTGCTCCCCATCTCCCAGGTGTGTTGCATCAGTGGGTAA